GTGAGGGGGGCCCTTCTGTCCTTTGCTGACCGTAACATTTGTTGTATTTTGTGGTGGGCTTGAATACTGTTTGTAGGTTGTGTTTTTTCAAAAGTTTCCCCATGCAGTCCATGACCCCTTTGATGTATGGCAGAAATACTTTATTTGTGGGTGGCTGTTTTTCTTGGTGCTGTTTTCTTGGTTTGATGGCTCTTGTGATTTCATTTTTGGAGTACCCATCTGCCTGTAGATGGCTGACTTCGGTGCTGAGAAATTGAGCTTCACAGTTCCGATTTGCATGGTCTACCAGTGTTTTGATTATGCCTCTTTTTTGCTGTGGGTGGTGGTTGGACTTTTTGTGTCGGTACCAGTCTGTGTGGGTGGGTTTTCTGTAGACCTTGTTCCCAACAGGAGGTCAGTTTTGCGTATGACCATGACATCTAAGAACTGCAGTTGGCCCTCTATTTCTTTTTCCATGGTGAATTGTATATTTGGGTGGATGCAGTTGAGATGGTTTAGAAATTCTTCCAATTTTTCTTCACCGTGGTTCCAAATTGCAAAGGAGTAAATACTCAACTCCCAAACTAACTGCAGCAGACCACAGAGTGCTACTCCTGTTCTCTGAAGATGCCGTCCACAGAGACTGGAGAAACGTTAGGAAGAACAACCTTCAGAATATGGCCAAGAGCCCGAAAAACCCACAACAACCATATCTGCCAATTGTTTGTATTTGGTTTTTTATTATTCTCTTTATTTTTTTATTTATGATATACAGTACAGGTTGGAAAAACTGCTTTAAAAAAAGAATCACTCTACCTGACCACAACCCCAAAACAAACCGAAATCTGAGTAGTCAACCTAAGTTACTTCCAACTGATGGAGGCATGGTAACTAAACATACCAGCTAGCAAATCTTGCTCTTTCTTTTGCTTTGTAGTTTTTGCCCTACAAGCTAATACACATTCTTCTAGAGTCACTGAGATCCTGTAATAGCTGTATGCTTACTAATGTTGTCAGTGTATTATCGAGGTTGAATACTGGTGAAGAATATTGGCAGTGGAGCACTTGTATCAGCAATGGAGAGTAGGCTTTTAGGTTTTCCTAACTGCAAAATGCCTAACAACTGCTTGCTTTTCAGCTATGCTATATCTGACAGCTGAAAGAGCAAATACTAGCAGTTCTGTCACAATGAGGAATTCCATGGCACTCTTGTCAGCTTTCCATTTGCCTGCTGCTGCTCGATGGATATACAACCTCCTGCCCGACCTGAGGTAGAGATTACTAGAGAGGACATGATTTAACTTTAGCAGCGACAACCAGAGATTCTTGCAAAAATGGCAAAAAGCTGGTTGATGGGATTCCCCCAAACAGAACAGGAAAGAATTGTGTCTGTCAGAGAGGGAAATCTTATTTGGCCACAAAGTCCACCTCTCAAACGGCCCTGTGGGGGCCATAAAAGGAGGGAAGAGAGGAAAAGGGGGGCGGTGGAGAGAAGGAAAACAGATCAAAAAGTCTCTCACTGATTTCTTTCTATCGTTATTCTTTCTCTTCTCTAGGAATTGTAAGAAGTCGCGAGAGCTCGTGAGATGAAACCTCAGTGGCGGCAAAAAGGAACTGAGGCAATCATAAGGATGGGTGGGCCACGTGTACTAGGGGGCGGTCCTGGAGAACGTGTGTTAAAGCTGTAGAATATTCCGGAACCTCTGCCCAAGCGCAGATTAAACCCATTAGTGTGCATTCACAGAGACCATGAAGAAGAAGAACTAATCCACACAACAAGAGATGGTGGAAAGATGCCATGATGGCAGCCAACCTCAGCAACTAAGACGGCACCCCGAGAGAGAGAGAGAGATTGGGGAGATGCTGTTCAAGTGCAGAATTCAGGGTAGTAATCATAAGCTTGTAAGTACAAGAACCAATTAATTCCCTGCAAAACATTAAATGTGCCCATGTTTTCATGTTGACAGAGGTACAATGCACAGCATCATCCACTTCAATTCCTAAAGAGCTGCTCCTACCCTGACTACAGACACAGAGGTGGGGCAGGAAGAGGAGGAAAGTGTTGAGGAAGAATGATCACTCTGGAGAAAGATTTCAGCCGAAACAGGGATTATGTGATAGACATGCTCAGAGCCTGTTGGAGGTGATATCAGAGCAGAGCGTTGGGAGGATGAAGGGGCAGGAAATTCATTCTGTTATTTTAGACAAGACAAACAAGAAAAAGGAAGGAGGAATGAATAGTTGTTTAGAAAACACTCATGCATGTCTGGCACTGACACTGGCTGACTTTCAGCATCCTGTGTATGTGGTGGCACTTTTACAGAGCCTGTTCAGAACTGAATTCTGCCGCCTGCCCCCAACCCCAGGACTAGATGAGGTACAGGGTTGGACTTGCAGGCTTCCTCCCTGGCTCCCAGCAGTTTGGAGATACCAAATGGGAACTCCTGTATTTATCTGAACAAGGGATCTCCTGTGATCCAAAGAGGTTAAACCCTTTCAAAAGTAGATTTTGATCTCCTAGCAGTAGAAGAGATTCTGCATGCAGAATATCATGCGATCACTCAAAATCAAATTTTATTTCTGTCTATGGTGACGGTAGCTGAAGGAGTGGGAGGGAGTGAGCAAGAGCAAAGCCTATTGCTTATCTTTTCCGGGAAACATTTAGGCTTGAGCAAATTGTCATTTTATTCTGTTTGAACTTCTAAAGCTGTTTGTAAACTTGTCCCCTAATATGTGGAAATGTTGCTCAGCAGAAACTTGCGTAATCTCATTCTCTAGGAACAAAAATCTTTACCAGTGGGAGATCCATGAGCACCTGCATTCCATCTCCTGGTCCCATATGAGCCACATGGTTGAAATTGGTTGGGTTGGAAATCATTTTGGATCTCAGCTCAGGGTCTCGGAGCATTTCTCTAAACAAACAAGAACAAAAATTGATGATTTTATATAAATAAACTCTTTTTACTATCAGCTGTGGAAGAAATTTAAAGCCTCACCGTCTTTGCTGTAATCTTTCTTCTTCAGGGACTTTAAAGACAAATCTTCTTTTGCTTCTAGTGCGAAGCATTTGCTTTTTGCTGTTGTCAGATGTTTCTGGCACACTAAGGGCTGCTCCTGCTATAACAATAGATAACACAGTTACACACACCAGACACAAGCCAACAGAAGTTCTGCACAAGCAGAAACTCTTAACGGGTTTTTATACTCATTATATACAGAGGACCCAGAAATCTGAAAATCCCAGTGGGTCACTGAATGGAAAGAGTGAAAACCTAGTCTTGTATGTATGTTTTCTGCAGCAAATGCAGGAAAACAATCCATGAAGTTCTGCTGTGCAGTTTGTTTATTGTGTTGATGGAGTTCTTTTCTCTGGTTTGTCTCTCTCCCAATAAATTGAGAAGCAAGCCTAAAACAAATCCTAGATTCTTTTGCCTGGTTTGCTGGAAAACTTAACACCCAAACAGAAGGGAGCATGCACATCCAAAAAAAATATAAGAACATGAACTGTGGAGCACAGCTGTCTAGTTTGGTTACCTATTCCCACTGCATCTAGGAGCAAAATTGGATGTGTCCACCAGGTGTGGCTTGCAATTGATAAGTCAAGGTTCTGTTTTGTCCTGTGTATCCTTGCCTATTGTGTTACCTGACATGATACAACATATTCTTATGACCAAAAGATACATCTCTAAATGCTCATGCTTCTGTTAAACCAGTGATTCACATCCTTGGGTCCCTGATGTTCTTGAACTAAGCTCCCAGAAGACTTCATCACTAGCTGTGCCAGCCAGGATTTCTGGGGGCTGCAAGGCCGAAACCACTGTACTAAGCACTTTTGAGTCTTTTTTTCTAAATGACTGCAAAATACACATCTGCAAATTATAATCTTTTCTAGAAAAGTACTTGTGTTTTCTAATAGACAACCCTTCGAGAAATATGCATACCAAAGGCTAGATATGTACCTTTTGATGAAAACAAAAGACATGAAAAATAAAATTCAATGAACAAAAGATACCACTAACTTCAACCAAAGGCCATCTCAGATGTCTCTCATATAATTATCATACTGTAGTTTCCTATCATGACAGTAGCCTTGAAACCATCAACAGTAACCTTAACAAAAAGTCCCACCAAGTAAAAAGGCTCCTCAATACTACAGTAAAACTAAGGCTGAATTTACTGCTTAGAGTTGGCTATCCTAGTTTTACATAGCAGTTCTTGTCTTTCCTCTCTGCAAACTACCCTATCTCAAAGCTATAGAATGGAATTACAGCTATCACTCTTCATTATATCTTTTTCTTCTTGTCTCTTCCAAACCAGCACACTAACCTGAAAACTTGTTCTTGAAATAGATTAATCGAGGAGGTTCACAGTTAAGGAGATTGAGTGTGCCTGTCACATTCAAGGGTCTGATCTGTTGCGGAGGCAAAGTAAGGGGAACATAAAATTAATCTTTAACACACTGCATGGGCGTTTTCAAAAACTAAAAACTGATGAGGCACTGTATTTTACAGTACAGAGAGTTACCTACCTTTCTTAAGCCAATCGTCTGAACCCATTCCATAGAGTTAACGTTAAAAACATCAACACCATATTCACTGTAGACTGTTAAATAGAAGGGATTGCAACCTGGAGAGAAAATGCAGAATCAGTCATTGTTGAACATACTTGAACTAACGCCAAGCACATCATTTAATTCCACTGCTGCGGCCCCTATGTAGTGTGAAATGTCTTAGGCCTAGTTCTTACTGATGTTTTACAGTGGCTCAGGTTCTTCCTGGAGAAGAGAACTCAGAAGGTGGTGCTAGGAGATTCCTGTTTGGCCCTCTGGGTTCTGTTTTGTCTCCTATGTTATTTAACATCCACATGAAACTGCTGGGAGAGATTGTTCATAGTTTTGGGGTTTGCAGTGGCCAGTATGCAGACAACATCTGACACTATCTCTCCTTGCCATCTAAATCTGAGGAAGCTGTTTTGGCTCCAAATCAGTGTCAAGTGTCAGTAATGAACTTGGATGAGGGTGAATAAACTGAAACTTAATCCAGAGAAGACAAGAGGTACTCCTGTGACTTGCTCAAGGTCAACCCACACCTTCCAGGCTCAACCCCACACACACACAATCAACTAGCTAACAGCCTTGCATTTGAAATGTGGCTACTCATTCTTGGAATATATTTTGCAATTGTGGACCTCTCCCAAATAAAAAAAAGACATTCCCTGTGCTGATCTTATAAAAGAGAGTTTTACCTTATACTCTACACAGTATTTTAAAAATGGCCCTCTCAGAGCCATATAGAGAAAGGCTGAGGGGAAAATGAGATTACCAAAAGGTTTATTCTGTGACTGTAGAACAAAAGCATAAGAATAAAGAGAAAAAGTCAGTTGCAGACTAGATTGAGGCTGCTGGGGCAAAAAGAAATAAAATTAATTATGCAAATGTACAGAAACCATGACAATGAGCCATAAGGAAGACAAAATGAGTCTGCTTTGCAACATTCTTGGTTCATTCTGCTTTAGACGATATCAAAAACATATCATCATCCTGTGCCATCAAGTCAATTCTGATTTATAGTGGCTTTTTCAGCATTTTCCAAGGCCACACAGGGTGGGCTCTACTCGCAAGAGACACAATGAGCAACTGAATTCCCAACTTCTGGATCCACAGCCAGATTCCCCAACCATTGAGTTATCCATGGCATTAAAAAGTTTTGTCAACTCAGACCAAGGGCCCATCTAGACCACAGTTCTTTTTGAGCAGCCTAACAGGAACAGGTCTTGCTCTTGTATTTATCGGGTGTTTAACTGCACACCAAACCTGAAGATGGTGTTTCTATTTAGCTGTGGGTAAATGTCAGGACTGGGAGTTTTATTAAAGAAAGCTGCCTGTACCCGGAATGTAAGTGGCAGAAATATACTTGCTGAAGCATTTCCCTTTATGGGAAAAAGCTTCAGGTTTTTTTTAAAAACTGGTGCTTGTTATTAAACTTGCTAAAAGTTCTTGGGGCAGCAATAGCCCTTCAAAATTACACCGATAAGCTGTGATGCTTGAGGCAGAGAAGACTATCGGGTTTTTTTTTAAAGGGGGACAACTATCTTAACTCACTGATGATTCTTTTGAAAGTCATCTAGACTTGGAGGCCTTCAGTGTATCTTGTAGCGGTGAGTTCCATATACGTGTGCTAACGGGACTTTTGCTATGGATTTTGAGAGATATTCCTAGAGGCAGGATGCTCACTTTCTGAATATTACAACGTTTTGAGTGTCTGAAGTATAATTTGTGTCATAATTAACAGGACATCATGAAAGACCACGTACTGTACTTGCCTGAAGGCAGCCCCTACAGGCCTTAGTTAAAAGCTAAACAAATAGCAAGGTACAGAGAAGAGAAAACACAGATAGGAATAAGCACACATTCAGTTTTAAACAAAAGGAGACTGGAAGTTAAAAGTGACAGGAAAAGGGGACAAAAGAGTCTTCTCTGTCTTCTAATGCTTTCAATCACCATAACAGACACAAATTGACACAGAACAGTCATTAGTACCAGGTAGGATAATTATCTGCTTTTTAGCCCTATGCTTTAAAAGTAAGACCTGGTGTTCCATTTTCTGCCCCTCCAAGGAAGAGGAATTCATCCTAAATTTGAAGAGGCCAAATTAGCTATAAAAATATAATCACTTAGCTATAAAAATATAACCACAGATTTCTTATGGGAGGCTCATAAAATTGTTGAGTTTTGCATGACCAGGAAGCAGCATCCCTCAGTAGGCATCAGTTGTTTCTGCTAAGATATTAAACAGCAACTACTAACAAATACTGCTCATTGATTTTCTTCTAATTTGATATTGTGACTTGTCAAAGTGGTCAATGCACATGGAAAAGGCTTATCCATGTCACACATCTAAGAGGATTGGACAGTTCTTAATCTGGGACAAAATGATGATAAAGACTTGCTGCAGGGTAAGGGGCAGGAGGTATAGATGTTCTTATATTTTAAAGTTAATCTATGGTATCCCACCTTTCCCCTAAATTTTTGTGTAGAATTTTACAATCTGAAATAAATAAAGATTAAACAAATCCATTTTCTAGGAAACCACCACATCACCTTGAATATACCAGTCGCACTAGATTTCAGAATCTAAGCAGTTTTAGGCCTGGTTAATAACAGGATGGGAACCCCCACAGAATACCAAGGATTTCCAGAAAGAGTTAGGAAAGAAATTGTAGAGAAACACTCTCAGTCTCAATTGAAAACCATGGGCTAGATGGACAAGTGATCTGACTCATGGTAATGCAGCCAGCTGGTCATAGGAAAGTAAAAGTAGCCCTGCTGGATCAGGCCAATGTCTTTCCTATCTAGCATTCTGTCTCCCACAACTGCCAATCTACTGAGTCTGGAAAGCTTACAAGCACAGCTGCCTCACAAGCAACAGTTATTTGCAAGCACACTGTTTCCATTTCAGCATCATGACTAGTAACCATACTAGCCACAGGACCTCTGTTAAGTGAGTGAATCTACTTGTCACATTAAAACACCACATTCTGTCCATATAGTGAGGTTTAAATTGTAATGGTTAGGACACACGATGTTACTTGCTCATAGTTTCAGACCACTGAAGCAGCAAGAAAGATACAGCAACAGAAAAACATATACATACTACAGGCAGCAGGAGTTGCAGGCCACATTAGTTCCTGCAAGCGTGACCTTCGACCTTGCGCATCGACGTACACTCCCAAGTGGCTGAAGCAAAGCAGGTATTCCTCATTGCTGAGCTCCACAGCACAAAGGGCATCAAAAGACTGTTGTGAGAGGAATGCAAGTGAAGGGTCATTGGAATTTACCAGGTTTATAGACTGTCCGTCCCCCTGGAAGTTCAACAGAGAGAAACCCGATGGGTAGCCCACACAAAGCTTGTCTTTGAACATTGCCATCCATTGGATATTGCCTGGAGCCTGGGTTTCACTGAACTTTTTATGAAAGGGCTTAGTCCTGTGAATCTCATAGCAGAGAACCTGCCGTTTGACTGCCACGAACAAACTTGTCGAAGAGCTCTTCTTGAGTGTCCCAGTTGTGATGAACTGGCAACCTTTTGTTTCAGGAAGCTTGACATCAAAGCTGCCTTCGGAACCATCCAGGGAGGACCAGGGGTACAAGTGGACGTGATGATTCCGACCACAAATAAGGATAATAACTTTCTCTTTGGGAGCGAGCTCTATCTGGTAGACCTTCTTGCAATCAGCAGCCCGTACAATCACTGTGAAACAACAGGTTCGTGTAAGTGACAGTAGCATAAACAGACGGGGTTTTATTAAGCATTAGCAATATAATTACTATCCGCTTAATGCACACTCTTCCACTCAGAGAGATAGTTTTGCTCCAGACACCTGACACTTCTCAGACCCAACCCTTTCTTAAAATGGTACCTCAATGAAGAGGAGTGCATACTCGCCATTGTTTAATATTTAAGGCATGAATAATCTGCCTAAGAAACCTCAAAACTGCACTGTTGCTCAAAGATATGAGAAGTGACACCTGACACTTCTCAGACCCAACCCTTTCTTAAAATGGTACCTCAATGAAGAGGAGTGCATACTCGCCATTGTTTAATATTTAAGGCATGAATAATCTGCCTAAGAAACCTCAAAACTGCACTGTTGCTCAAAGATATGAAAAGTGCTTTAGTGGATCAGTTCACCTGACTCAGTGAACCACTTTCTGTCCATCCCTCCAAGGTTAAGAACCAGTGCTTTAGTGGATCAGTTCATCTGACTCAGTGAACCACTTTCTGTCTATCCCTGCTGCAGAATGAACATATACTTAAAATTCTCAGCAGCAACAAAATCCTTCCTATTTCTCATTTCTGATTAAAAACAAGTACATTTTACAAGGCATTACACAGGTCAGCATTAGAGATTGTGCCACTCTGGCAGATGACTGAGAAGATGTTCCGTGGTTTGGTGTGCTGCCCTGTCCCCTCCGGTGGGTGCCCGCTCAGATGCAGCACCTAGAGGAAATGGGGCAAGGGAGCCAGGATGCGGGCTTCCTTCAGAGTGGGCGTCTGCCAGAGGGGGCAGGGTGCCAAACCGCAGAACACCTGTTTGGTTATCTGCTGAACCCTACTCATCTCTAGTCAACATATTTCAGGGCTTATCAGAGAAACTATATCATTTCTTTTTTTAATATAAAATAAAAGCATGTTCATTGTCAGAAAACAAAAAGAACAGGAAGAAAAGGACATGAGAGGAAGACAGGTAAAGAGAACATAAATGAATGCCAAACAGTTCTTTGGTACACATGGGTGAAGTGGTTTGATGGTATTCATTTAATTAAAACATATATAATAATAATTGTGCTATAAATTCTGACTTATGCTGACGCCTAGGACATGAGAGGAAGACAGGTAAAGAGAACATAAATGAATGCCAAACAGTTCTTTGGTACACATGGGTGAAGTGGTTTGATGGTATTCATTTAATTAAAACATATATAATAATAATTGTGCTATAAATTCTGACTTATGCTGATGCCTTTTTCAGGGTTTTCTAGGTAGAGAGCATTCAGAAGTGGTTTATCATTCCCTTCTGGGACACCCTGGGACTGTGCAGCTCGCACACAGGCTGGCTCTTCTGGGACAAAAAGAGAGCCTTTGGCGAAACATAAATAGACCTCAATGCCTATTTTTAGACTAAGAACCTGTTATTCATTTTGAGATAGTTTTCTGAAAGCTTGCTGACAAGCTGTGAAGGTTTTTCATTTTTTTGTGTAATAAATGAGAGCACGACAAGAGATGTTATTTGTCTGAAAATCACCACCATGCCTTCTTAGACTCTCAGGTGTATGTGTGTGCACGTGTGGGGAGTATCCTTCCTGTAACCCAGAAAGAGATGTTATTTGTCTGAAAATCACCACCGAGCCTTCTTAGACCCTCAGGTGTGTGTGTGTGTGCGTGCATGTGCGTGTGGGGAGAATCATTCCTGTAACCCAGATAAATTATACTTGATTCCAATTACTCAAGTCTGTGAAGAATGTGTATGGAGGAAAAAGATAGCAAATTTTTCAGCTGACATTTAAGGTGCTTTCAGAAGTCACACTGACTCCATAGCACTAGCAATCATATGGGGTAAATGTGAATTCAGTAAAACAGTCTGTGTAATTTTTTAATGCATAAAATCACAACACATCCCATAACCCACCACTGGGCCCATGAGAGCTCAATAACCCTCCTGGAACTACATCCTTCTCTATGGAGATGGGAGGTACCGTCAAACACTGCACATGTTAGTTTTGGGCTACATCAACTGTTAGCTTTCCAGCTTTATTAGGATGCTATGCTAGAACAGGGTACATAAACACAAATAAGAAGGATGAGGCCATGCAACATCCATGACCTTGAAAATCTGCAGGGGGCTTAACACTCATGTCTGTTTCAAAATTAATAGAAGCCCCTGTGGGCTATTTTCTTTAAGAGTTTTCAGGCATGTCAAGACTTCTACCCACATTCAAACCACTTTTCCTTCTTCAACATGAAGTGCTGGATATTTTAGGGAGGGCAACGTGGGTAGGATAGGATACCCTTTGGAACCTTTCTCTATGGAAAGCACAGAGGATCTGCAAAGCAGATTTTCACTCACAAGACAGCGGATTCCGCCACCTGCAGTTCTATTTATGAAGAAAAATGAATATACCGGTAACTCTCAAAACTGATTGAAAACAGAAATGGCAGGAAAAGGAAAGCTGAGTGTATCACAAAGATGACAACTGTGGGGGACATCTAGAACTTACCACTTTTTGTTTGTTTGTTCTACTCTGTGGACCCACAATTCCCAATACAGAGTTCCCATGAAAATTTTATTCTCCATTTCTCTGACTTTACCTGACCAATTTTTCTCAAGTTCTCTGACAACCACTCCAATATAATCACAAGTTTGAAAAATCAATAGATTACACTACTTTAATTAATGGCTTTATGTAATTTATTTTATTTTATTTATTTATTTGATTTCTATCCCGCCTATCTAATCAATTAAGATTACTCTAGGCGGCTTACAACAGTAGAGCAACAACAATATGAATTAAAAACAATTTTACAAAAGAAAAATTGCAACAGATTAGGAGAGAACTAGGGAGTAGAAAGAAAGGGGAATCAGGAACTGGCAATGGGGAAGGCCTGCCGATACATCAATGTTTTTAGTTGTTTTTTGAATGTCTCTAAAAGGTCACAAGTTTAAATGCAAAAATATTTTTCAAGTTAAGAGATTTCATATGACCATCTGCAGAAACATCTGTTATGAAATTACAGAAAATTTACACCAAGCAAGTAATTTCAATTCAAGTCATATCTGAACAACAAATGATATATCGTTTTTGTTCTTGTTTTAAAGGTACAACAAAATTTATGTAAAAAAATGCATATGGATGTCTTATCCAAAATAGTAACTGAAGTCACATTATGATACTCATAATCTTCAAGTTGCAATCAAAATCAAGTTATAAATTAGAACACAAATGTTCTTTTTTTAAAAAAAAAAATTAAGATACAAGGCTATCTTTTCTACAGATTTCTCTTTTTGTTTGTTAACTCTTTTAGTTTCAGAACATTTCCATTTTGGCTTCTCTCAATCTTTCTTCTTCTGAGTTTCTTCTTGTTGCTTATAATGTTTAGCCCCCAAGTGCAGCATACATGAGCATGCCTGACTGAGTGCAACAGGTTCTTCTTTCTTACCAAAGATTCAAGTCCTCCAGAAAAGAGCACTGTAACTATGATGCGGACAGACAACTGTATCTTTATTTTGTTCTCTATTAACATAGATTTATTAACTGAAAATCCACTTTCAACCAAAGCATTATTATGAGACAGAGTATGGCACATTTTGACAACATTCCACGGGCCTAAGAAACTCTTGTGGGCCATCAAAATAATGCTGTAAAATGTATCCAATCCAGCTTCATCATCTTGTTTTGTATCACAAACTTGAAAGTGAGCCTTGAGCTATTACTGACAAATGTGACTAAAGCAGTTTATTGTTGCTTTGATTTTCTGCAACTTTGTCACTGATTCCATTTGCTGCATGTGGAACTGTAAGGACAATCCCTATGCTGGAGATTCCAAGATTTGTCCTGTGTTTAATGATAGTAGGATCTACTGTCCATAGGTCACAAACCATGTTAAACTTCAACAAAATTCTAGCAATCAACTTTTGAACAACAGCTACTATAATGTTTTGGCATTTTAGGTAAAATTTAGTTCACTAAATTTTATTTCTTTCAACAGCTTTTTTTGGTGCAAAATCAAAGTCAACCTTACTTATTTCATGCAGGTTTTCAGACAATTTCAAGTCACCAATTAAGAACCAGAAAATACATTTTGTAGCTGTCTGATTTTATGTGACCACAGTTTATGGATTATCTTACTTATTTCATGCAGGTTTTCAGACAATTTCAAGTCACCAATTAAGAACCAGAAAATACATTTTGTAGCTGTCTGATTTTATGGGACCACAGTTTATGGATCATCTTACAAAGGCCTTCTCTCTCTCTCTCTCTCTCTCTCTCTCTCTCTCTCACACACACACACACACACATTTGGAGACCTTTGTAGAATAGTACAATTTTTTTCAGTAATTGTTTTACACACACACACACACACACACAGAAACACATTTTGAGACCTTTGTAGAATACTAAAAAAATCTTCAGTAATTGTTTTCATGAATGCCATTTTGCACTTCATGAGTGATCTTGCATTGCAGCTTTTATGCAACTTGCAGGTTTACTGTTTTCAGTTAGATTTTTTTTTCAGAAGAATTTTCAGTTCTTCTGATATAGTAGTCCTTTTGCAGGAGACCTCACACCTCTTAATTTCCATATTACTTATTTCAAAGGTTTTGTAGCACATTTTACAAGAATCTTTGCATTTGTCTCCCGCAAACCAGTGACAGCCATGGAGGAAAAAGTCAAAATAAAGTTTGATAATCAGACATACATATTAAAAACTGTCCTCTTAAAAGTCATCTTCAAAATGTAGTTTCAAATACAGACTTACACAGAAGCACCTCTCTGATACCATGATTTAGTAGATTTGTTTGTCTATCAAGTAGCCACTTTCCAAAGCTGTGACTAATTTTCTGGATTCTAGAGTGTGTTCTAGAGCAGGGGTCCCCAACCCCCCGTGCCCGTGCTGGTGCCAGTCCGTGGGCTTCCTTGAACTGGGCCGTGGACAGATCTCTGCCCCTCACACTCATGCACGGTGGGCATGTCGTGCTCGCGGAGGGGGCATGAGTTGCTCACAGGTGGGTATGCTGCGCTCATGGGTGGGCATGTCGCACTTGCACACATGTGCAACACCCCTCCATGAGCGCGACACGCCCACCCGCAAGCATCACACGCTCACCCACAAGCGCGGGGTGCCCCCGCCCCCTGTGCACGGAACCTGCACCCACCCACCAGTCCGCAGTCCCAAAAAGGTTGGGGACTGCTGTTCTAAAGAGTGTAACGAGTAGATAAGCAGCAGGGAAGGGGATGTAGGCTAAATGTTTGCAGATCATTTCTGAAATCGAGGAGAAGCGGACAATCTTAATCTGTAAGTTTTATGCATGGAAGCAGGCATGGACGAGGGTGAGAGAACTGGTTCTCTGCAAACTCCAGCAGGCCCAAAAAATCCCATTTGCAAACTTCACTTTGAATACTGGAGAGAAATTGTTAAGTGACAGTGAAATTCAACAGCAACTAAACTCATCTGCAACTTAAGATGTAGGAGACAAAACTTCCACTCCATACGTAAGAATGCCACCAGCAAATGTTTATCTTTGTATGTACCGGTAAGCTAAATGTAGTAGTAACAGGTAGGGATTAAAACAGTTAAATCTCTTAAATTTGTATCATGCTCCAAATGTTTGAATTAGCCTTGCAGAGGCTAAAGGCTGACCTTGCAAATCACACAGAGACAGAGCTCAACAAAGACAGTCAGCTGGTTGCTGGGGCAACAGCTGTGGAGCTGGGAAAGGCCAGAGGAAGCATCATTAAAGTGTACTTGTATTCCCTTACTTCTTTTTGCCAACTGCCACAAGAAAAGATCATCAGGTACTTCATAAGAAAATAATTACTTGGGGCTGGAGAACATCTTGCTGTTCATTTATGAGCTCCTGTTTTCATCAGCTCTTATTGTTGACCATGATGATAGGGCTGATGGGAACTGAAGTCCAACAGTAGGTGGAAGGCCAAAGGCCCCTCTGCCCGAACTTAAGTGGTAGGGCTCAAAACAAAAAAGCAAAGTATGCTGCTTATACAGCGGTATCTCAGTTTGCGAACGCCTCGGTTTACAAACCGAAATCCGTAAGAAATAATGCCTTGGTTTACATTGTTCCCCCCCCCAGAGTACGAAAGGGTTTTCCCAGGGCGCGCACTGCACCTATAGCGCTGCCCCTTTCGTAGTGCAATCGGTGTTTGGTTTACGAAATTTCCGCATTACGTAACATTGTGTAGGATGGATCAATTCTGTAAACCAAGTTACGCCTGTATACCACCCCATAACGCTTAAAGCACTCTTTGGGTGGTTTACAAGTTAATTACGGAGGGTATGGGTATGCATTGCCCCACCCCCCGAGAGCTGGGGGTGGGCCAACCTTGGAAGGATAGAAGGCTGAGTCAACCTTGAGCTGGCTACCTGGGATTGAACCCCAGGTCGTGAGCACACTTTTGGCTGTAGTACAGCAGATTAACTACTGCGCCACAAGGCTCCTCATCCCTTCACACAAAATGTTAGAATGAGTAAATGTAGCAAGAATTTCACTTACCATCTCGGGTCACCTCTACAACATAGAGACCTTCTTCAGAACCAATTGCTATTCTATCCCGATCTAATGGCAGAAAGAGAGTGAAAAAGGTATTCATATAAGAATGCTTACAACTGTGAATTTTTTTTGTTAAGGCAAAAAACCTTTTTTTTAAGTGCAGAATGAGCTGAATGGAGCATACCATATTTTGGGGTCTCAGTTTGTTTGGAGGCACAGTTTAAAGGGAAAAGGGCAGGGAAAATGGTGCTTTTCACCTGCCTTTTTCTGTGCTTGGCAAGCCCTGGGAAGCCTCCGAAAGCAGCGCTTGCCATGGGGGAGGAGGGTGGCCCCTCGTGGCCAGCGCCGCTTTTAGAGGTCCCCCCCAGTCCTCCCAGTACCATCGGAGGACTGGCGGGGGACCTCTGAAAGCAGTGCTGGCCTCCCACCCTGCCTCTTAGCTGTTCAGCACTGCTGCTTTCAGAGGTCCCCCGCCAGTCCTCCCAGTACCATCGGAGGACGGGCGGGGGACCTCTGAAAGCAGTGCTGGCCTCCCACCCTGCCTCTTAGCTGTTCAGCACTGCTGCTTTCAGAGGTCCCCCGCCAGGCCTCCAATGGTGCTGGGAGGACTGGTGGGGGCCTCTGAGAGCAGCACTGCCCACAGGGGGACGCACCCCCGTGGAAAGCACTGCTTTCAGAGGTTTCCTGGGGCTTGCCCAGCACGGAAAAAGGCAGGGGGAAAGCATCATTTTTGAATTTCCCACCTTTTTCCCCTGCCGTTTTCCATGCTGGGCAAGCCCTGGGAAGCCTCTGAGACCCAGCACTGAACAGCTGGGAGGTGGAGGGTGGGGAGCGGAGATGACCACAAAATGGCTGCCGCCTCTCAGCTGTTTGGCACTCTGGTCACACAGAGTCCTGCTGTTCCGGGGCTACCAAGGGACCGTGAGGAGTGGAGCTCGGTCTACAGTACAGTGGGGTCTCTACTTAAGAACATCCCTACTTAAGAACAATCCAACTTAAGAACAGCTCCATTTGCTAAATTTTGCTTCTACTTGAGAACAGAAATCCAAGATAAGAACAGGAAAAAAAAACCTTTCCTGCTCCTTTTTTAACCTTAGGTCATCTTAGGTTAAAAAAAATTCTCCCCCTAGTGGTAGAGTACGTATTAACCAGCTTTGCATTAGTTCCTATGGGAACTAATGCTTCAATGTACGAACGCACCTCTACATAACAAAAAAACAGCCAGAACGGATTAATTGGTTTTCAGTCCATTCCTATGGGAAATTTTGCATCAACTTCAGAACGTTTCAACTTAAGAACACCATTCCAAAACCGATTAAGTTCTTAAGTAGAGGTTCCACTGTAGTTTCTATGGACGGAAAAGAGCAGATACAGATTAAATAGATTTCAATGCATTCCTATGGGAAATGCAGATTCAACATAAGAACTTTTCAACTTGAGAACCACCTTCGAATACGGATTAAGTTCTTAAGTAGAGACCCCACTGTACCTGGTACTGTAAGTGACTTTGTTCTGACTTTTTGTTTCTGACTTTTTTTGTACCTGGTACTGTAAGTGACTTTGTTCTAACTTTTTTTGTTTCTGACTTTTTTCTCCCACAGGAACACATTAATTAAATTTCAATGCATTCCTATGGAAAACCGCGCCTCGCAAGACAAAAATTTCGCAAGACAAAAAAAACCTCACCAACGAATTAATTTCGTCTTGCGAGGCATCACTGTATAAAGAACATTATTCTTAGAAAAGCACATATAGGAACGTAGCCTCAATGGCCTGGGTCAAACCTATCAAAGGAAATCACTGGAAGAGAGATTACTCTAAATGTTTTGTCTTCCAGAGGCTATATTGTTCAGGATATATGATACAGCACAGATCACCCTTTACAACTTACCCCACAATGGTGCCTACAAAATTAATATCAACCTTACATCCTAAAGCAAGCAAAGAATGTGCTCCAGTAAGCTTTCATAGGGAGAATGGGATAGTTATTGCAACTAGCTTGGTAATTTATATGCCAGCAGAAATGTTTAATACCTGTATTTTATTTATTATTTGAAAATTGTTTTTATATGCTGCTACTATGACAGTTTGGGTAGCTACCCTAAAGGCCATTCATTGTTCATGAGGCAAGATGTAAGTAAAACATAAACAATCTCTCCAAATGAGAAGGTCTACAGGGAAAATATTTACAATTTTCTTTTAGGACTCTCAGTATATAACAGAGCTATTTTTTCCTTAAGCCATAAAGAAATTATCATAGAAATAACAGAATTCACTGGAGCACTAAAGATGCCTACTGCAGGCAGAGTTAATCATAATTAGTTTTTAAAAATCAATTAGCAAATTTTACACTACTAAGCTTCTCTGAACAGAGGTGCAGATGAGAAATAATATAATAATAAAAAGGATGGCAATGCATTAGCTCCACTTGCAGCTGTAGCAGCACCAGTTGAAACATTTTTAAATAACTGACATACCTATAATAGCAGCAGCTAAGCTGGTTTTAATGAGAGGCAGTGTGCTGTCATAGGCTTCCTGTGGAATATGTACAACTTGGTTTTTGAGTTGATTTTTTTGCAGAATAGATTTCAGCCCCTCCAGGATTCCAACCCATTTGCGCTTTTCATTCTCATTTTCAGTTAGGATCAGCAGAGAGCACGTCTTTGAAGGTGAGCCTAAGAGAGAAGCTGTCACCTTGACAGCAAGATAAAGCAAAATGACAACAGTCAAGTGAAATTTGCTCTCTTTCTCTCCAATGTAGGAAAATAAACTGGCTGTATCAACTGGCAGATGTTATTATATACAATGGCTTTCGTAAGCACAAAAGTTTCCTCTTAAAGTCTTACATCTAGAATTATATTTCATAAAGTTCCCTATCCATTTTATGTGTAAAATTTCAGGATGAGGAGCATGTTTTTAGCAGGATGGGGCCTGGGCAAAGTGTAACAATATCCAGTTTAGGGCAGTTGTAGTGGATTTCTATTGTCTGAAATCTTGTTGCTTAGACTACTAAGTTACAATGAGTAGGTTCACTGAATCAATGCAATTTACAGCAAAATTTACTCACCAAATCCCAAGTGATTCTAGCTGCAATTGACTATGCTAGGCAACAGGATTTCAGCCACTATATATGACACATTTGTGCTGGAAGTATAGTAAAATCTGGCAAAATATTACAGAGAATCAAAAACCCTAGGGGCAAGGTAGCTTATTCTGAAACAGTCAAGTAATCAGTATTGATTTTCCAGGTTTTTAAAACTAATTAATTTGGGGTGTTTGTAAAATATGACCTATATGCCAGGAATCAAAATCAGAATAGGGTTGATTCTTATAGGTGGTCTGCTACTAGTCATTATACTTGCTGACTGAAAAGATTAGACATCTTTTACAATGTATAGGACAAACACAACTGCTAGTAGCTTGAGCCCAGATAGGTTTAAATAAGATACCTGCTAATTGCCACCAGGGAAAATGTCAAACTTGGAAATATAATTAGTTATAAGAAGATGTGTGATAGGATGGTGAAACAAAATATATCTGAGCACTACCCCATCGTTCAAAATGTTTTGCAGAGTCTAGAAAGTGGGAGTATTATCACTTTGTATAAGTACCATTCATGTGATCCTTATAAACAGTAAACACGCAGGATGAAGAGAAACTCAGACTCCATTCATCTAAATTTTGAAAGTTTAGTTTCCCCGTATGTGTGTAGTTCGGCTTCATAAAACAAATATTGTAAACTAAGATTCATATTAACAATAGAATTATTCAACGGTCATTCATTGAAATGAGACTTGAGAATATGTAACACATGAACTATATTTCCACAAACTAATCAAATAGAGTGGTCGAGTAGACCAGATAGGCGGGGTATAAATGAATGAATGAATGAATGAATGAATGAATGAATGAATGAATGAATAAATAAATAAATAAATAGTCATACCCTGAATATACATGGGATATCTTTGCGGGTAGCATGAATAACATCTGATGCGAGGACAGAGCTCACAGAAAAATCTTCATCTCTGGCAAGAAATCAAATAATACAAGTCACCAAACTTGGTTTAATCTATTTAAAGGCATAGCCAGAGATAATATTATCAGCTTCCATATGACCTGGTACAATTCTGAGTTTACTGGTTCAGGGAGAGGTTGGTTAACATGGCAAAAGACATTACTATTTTGTACTCAAGAAAGTAAAGCAAGGAAACATGAGAGTAAGAGTACATGAGAGCACAAGGGTAATTTTTATGTTGTGCTATATACAAACAGCCTATGTTTTGCCAAAAGGCACACCAATACAATAATTAACTAACTTAATGCTTGCTTAATTCTAATGAAAATTCTCTGCCATTTTGGTTGTGCTATTTTTTTTTAGCATGACACATTTTATGCTAGTTTTCTCTTTTACACAACAAACCAAAGGAAAACTATGGTTTATTGCTGCGACTGTTAAAACCACCACCAACCTGAGATCTAGGACTTGACTTGCAACAACTCCTGGCTGGGTGGATTTTCCTTCAGGCACATCATAGAGGAAGAGTTTACAGTCACAGACTACTGCATAAGCCCTCTGCCATCCTTTCTTAACTCCTGTTGGCTTTGGAACCTAGAAGTACAGTAATGTAAAACAAACCAAAGCACCCCACATTAAAATACTACTGCAAAACATTTGCCACTGTTAACGTGTATTAAGATTTTCAGTGTTACAATTTCTCTGCTATGGGAGGAGCTTTGATGTATGTCCAGATGTATGAAGCAACTGGGTTAGAAACAAGGCACATTTCTGGGGGAAATTTTTGAAGTGGTAGTTGTTAGTCTGTGCAAGCATATCAGTCAAGAAACAAAACAAAAAACACAAAAGAATAAAAAGCGACAAAAATGTGGCACATTAAAAACTAAGTTCTATATTTTAAAGTGAGCTTTTGTGGATCGAGTCCATTTCCTCGAGACATAAGAATGAGATTATATGGTAGTGACCGGTGGGGATACAAAGTGACTGTTTACATTCCCTCTAATTTTAAACCCTGCTGGGTGGGGCTCTGCCCCTCACACCCACGCCTCCACCCCGTGTGGGGTTCCGTCATGCCCAGAACCAAAGGGGCTGGAAATGCTTGCTGTGGGTGCACAGAGGAGGAAGAATACTGTATGGGGGTGGGGGGTGGCAGAGTCATGCAGATTTTCACCTTTCAGAGAACCTTGATGACAGTGGTTGGTTAGTATAGTCAACACAAGTTGCAAATTGTGTGAGCCAATATGGCATTTTTCACTTGGTAATGATTTAAGACCCGTAACTGATATTCAGTTTTTTCAAAATCTGTCTTTTCCCTTTGAAACCTTGTTCTGTAAAAAGTGAAAGGACCAGCCTATGGATAACAACAGCAGATAGCAACCTGAATGTTGTAGCATTTTAGACTTGGTAATGAGTTAAGACCACGTGACTGAAATTTAACCCTTTAAGATGGGCTGCCAGCATCCATATGTCAGGTCAGGAATTCCTGAATATCTCCCCAAAAGCCCTACAGAACTTTATAAACTTTACAAAGAAAAAAAATCACACAATTTTTCATCTTCCTCAGGCTGTGCATCAAGATTTTGTGGACAACAATATATTTAAGATAGTCCCTAAAATTAATGGCAGTTGATTGTGGCAGATGCAAAACACAATCTTCTGCTGTGATTTTTGAAACTCTCATAAATATTTTTTCTGCACTTTCCACAAAATCCTGGTGCACATCCTGAGGAAGATGGATTAGCATGGAAACTTAGCTGTTCAATTTTTAGTGGTCTAAAAAAAAGATCACTTGCGCTTGTAATTGTATTGTGTAAGGAACACATATCTTTTTCTAATGTTTTAACTAATTTGTTACTTGTGTCTACTACACTAATCAACCATTGTCACTTTGTATTCCCACTGGGTCATGGGATTCTGTGATTGCCATATACTGTAGTCTCATTCTTATGTCTGAGGAAGTGGACTTGATCCACTAAAGCTCACATTCAACATTTCCTCAAATTTTCAGCCCTGATCAGTGGGGCTCTTTCCCTTGCACGCACAACTCTGCTCCTGAGCACGGGGTTCTGTTGCAACCAGAACCAATGGGGTTGAAAATGATTGCTGTGGGTGTGCGGAGGAGGAGGAATGTTGCGTGGAGGGGGCCAGAGTTGAGTGTGCAGGTGCACACCTTTGAGGGAATCTTGCTCATATTAAAATATAGCAATTTAAAATATAAATTGTAGTTTATCACAAAAACTGTTCAGCTTCTAAATACATTAATTTCAAATATGATTCTCTAATTAAACAGCATGTGGTGGAGGTGGATATGTAATCCAAAGGCTGTGCTTGGTCTCATTCCAGCTGTTGCATCCCATTGCAAAGTACAATTTTGCATTATATGCCAACATGCTACTGTTCGAGGAGGTGGAGTGGAGGGGAACTATCTGTGAATACAGAGTCATGGCCCCTATGAATGTGAACTCAGGGTAAAGGAAGGGCACCCACAAAAAGAACAGTCTGGTCCCAGAGGAGACTTTCCATATACAGAGTATCTATATGTAAGACTGCACAAAGACCATGGAGAAAGAGCTTGCATTCTCACCTTTAAAAATCTATGTCAGAATGTGTATTGTTCAATCGTGCAACTGAAAAATACTTAAGGGGGATTTACATATGGGTATTCACATTTTCCATTTAACCTGTGCAACAAACAGAATCTCTCTTTTCTTTTTTATTTCACAGATCATCTCTTATTTTGCAGTATGTGGCCTTTTTTTGGGTGTGTGTGTGTCAATTTCCGATATTGCAAATCAAACCACTTACTATGATCACTGAAATAAGGATTAGCAGTAAAGAGATTACTATAAATTGTAAAAAAGGTTTGGATTTTATCACAGTTTCAGAAAATGAATGATTGGGTGAGAGGAAAATTTCAAGGCATGTTCATCTTCTGCAGCTTGCCTCTTCCAGCATGATTGGTGGGATATGGCATGAACCAAGCCTTGTACTAAGTAAAAAAAGGAGAATGTTTACGCAAACAGACACCTTCAATTTACTGGCATGGCACAAAAGAAACACATTAAATGATAACAGAAATTACCATATTTTTCCATTTATAAGATCCACCCCCACACTTTTCTAACCCAAAAATTAAGAAAACTTAGCTTTAAGTATTCAGCCTCTGGGCTCAGAACACTCAAACATTATGAGTCCCTGTTGCATCTGAGCCTACAGGCTCCACCTCCAACAAGGCGTGTTCCAATTGGTTTGTTCAGCATCAGCTGACATCAGTTCCCTAAGGCTCGTGACTGGAAGAAGGAAAGTCTACTGACTGTAGGAAGCTAAGCCTCATGACTGAAGGAAGCCTGTTTACAGAGGCGAGGTGTGGGCTGTTTTGTTCTCTCCATGTTCTCAGCTTACATATAAAGACACCCCTCAATTTTAAGTGTAATGATTTTCATGTACATAAATCTCTTGCATACTTTATGGCTAAATAGAGATACAGAAAGTAAGTAACTTAAAAATATCAAGGGATACACTCCATTTCAATGGTTCAGCATTCCGGCTTCCTGTTTATCACTCATTCTTTCTGAAATGATGTGCTCATTCTTTCCTGTTTCCTTTATCATACCCATACAGTAGGTACCTCGGTTTACGAAATTAATGCATCCTCCAGAACGTTACGTAATGCGGAAAATTCGTAAACCGAAACACGGATTGCCATAGGAATGGGGGCAGCGCTACAAACCTCCAGGCACAATGCATCCTGGCGAAACTTTCTTCGCAAACCGAAAAAAACAGCAGCGCTACAAACCTCCAGGCACAATGCAACCTTTCTTCGCAAACTTTCTTCGCAAACCGAAAAAAAACCCCATAAACCAAAACAAAAACTATAAACCAAGGCATTATTTTCAACGGGTTTCTGTTCATAAACTGAAAATTACATACACCAAGGCATTTTCTACGTATTTTAAGCAAATATCCTACTCCTAATCCCATTTATTTAGCAAATATCCTACTCCTAATCCCATTTATTTAGCAAATATCCTACAGCTAATCCCCCCTAAGAGAAGATCTGCTGAATCAACTGCCTACTGACTCAACTGGTAAGCCAATACCTAGGTAAATCTACTGAGTCAATGGCCTTCAATGACTGGCTATATGCGTGTGACTTTTAGATGGATTGTTATGCATTACTACTCTTTCTTAGAGTGGTATTTGTTCCTTTTTAATATTTGGCTATTTACTGTTTTAGCTTTGATATTGTATTTTAATGATATAAGATGCCTCTTTATACTCATTGTTCTTAGCTTTAAATATTGTCTTTTAATGATGTAAGCCGTCTTAGGTCCTTTTTAAGGAGAAAGGCAGGGTAACATGGTGGACGGTTGATACTGTGCATCGGTCCGGTCTCCTTGGGGTCTGTTATTTGTTTTATTTGGTTATATTTATGTTAGTTATTATTGACTTTTTGATTTTGACTTCAATTGGCATCATGTAACCAGAGGACCTTTTTCCACCCTCCTAATGGAACAGCTTTCAGCAGAAAACAGCCTGAGCTAGCCTATGCCCTGCCTTCGCTGAGGACAAAAATGACCCAGAAGCCAGTACTAAAACAAATAACTGGAATGACTGCCAGAGAGAGGAAATCTCAGGGGGTGAGAGAAAACCTCAGGTGGGGTAATCTCCTAAGGAGACTACGGGAGGCTTGGAGTTGTTTTTCCCCCCACCTAACAGCACTACCATCACCAACATCTAGAAAATTGTGGGAACCAAGTGATATGTCTGTAGCGGATGGCCTAACCTGTCAGGACCTGGTTGATTCAATCTTCGAACAGCAAGTACATATAGCGTATGTACTAATTTAAAATTGATTAATCAATTGGTGGAATCACATCACTGCAATTAATTATAATTTAAATATATGAATTCAATAAAGAGATTCCCTTTAATCATATTTTATTTGGTCTTATCTGCTAGTATTTATTCCTACATTGCACTTTAACCACATAGTGCCTATCATTGGAGACTGTGGTCCTGTCACCCAGTGCAGGGGAATGAATAACATATAAGTTGTAACGGGGTATGGTCCTGGCACAACAGCAAATAAACCTAGAAGAATGGGGCCCAGATATCTGAAGACTGTCCCTTGTTCTTGTTTCGACACCAGGTCTGCGCCGAATAAAACCCAACTAATCCAAGACCTAACCCTGGATGAAACAGCAGATCTGGCTTGTATTACTGAGACTTGGGGAGCGCAGAGAGCAGTGTAGCCCTTTCACTAATCTGTCCACTCAGATATTCCAACTTCAGGGTAGACTGGAGGGTTGGGAATGGGGAATCGTCATCATCTATAAAAACACCTTAGAGGTTGTTAGCTTCTCTGCCTTGAGTATCCTGGGCCTTGAGGCCTTCCATCTGTTGGTGAAGTCCAGGGATGGGTTTGGGATGGTGCTTGTTTACTGTGCTTCCCATGATCCGGCACTCCCATGATCCGGCACTCTGGCAGACTTCATCTCCGCGGCAGGATTGAGGTCCCCCAGACTAATTTTCTGGGTGACTTCAATGTCCATGCCGAGATTGGGGCCATGGGTCCAGCTCTTGCGTTCTTGGAAACCATGGCTTCCTTGGACATGTCCCAACTTGTTAATGGCCCCATTCATGTCGCGGGTCACACACTAGACCTGGTGTTCTCCACAGGTCAGGGAGAGTGGACCAATGGCAACCAACTTGGTATCGGTCCCCTTGTCGTGGTCCGACCACCACCTGATAAAATGCAACCTGCAGGCTATTGGATCCTGATGTAGGACACAATGTAGGGGATACCAGCTGATCTAGTTGGCACTCCTGTTGAAGCTCTGGTGGATGAATGGTATGCGGCAGCCACCAGGGCGGCTGACATGATCACTCCTAAACACCTCCTCTATTCCTGACCCTGGCCAGCTGCTTGGTATAACCAGCAGCTACAGGTGTTGAAGTGAAATAGGATGAGGCTAGAAGGCTTTTGGAGACAGCCCCAGATGACAGCTAACCTAAATGCCACAAAAATTAGGTCAAACATTTATCTGGCCAAAGTGAAGGCTATAAGAAAATCTTACTTCGTTCTCCGGATAAGCGAAGCCCGGCTCAAGAAGCTGAACTGTTCCACATTGTACGTGACTTATCCAGAATTGGTCACAGTGACGAGCCTCCCAGTAACTATTCCCTGTGACCAATTTGCGGCCTTTTAAAAACACAAAGTGGAGGCCATCCACTGGGACCTAGACTTCTCTTTATCACGCGGAGACATCGTTCAGCCCGTGACATCAGGGTTGATAGGCTCCTTTATTGCTGTAGGGCCACCTCCTCCTCAATAAACCTCTGCCCAGCCTGGTTTCTGAAAGTGGCCAAACTGAGTGGGCAGAGGCCATTATTACCAGGTCTCTCCTTGAGGGCAAGGGGAACCTTGCCCTCAAGGAGACAATCATTTATTTATTTATTTAATTTCTATGCCGCCCAATCTACCCTGAGGTCTCATTAAGCCAATTCGGAAAAAGCTCAACCTGGAGGCTGACAATGTTAACTTACAGCCCAGTTGCCAACATCCCCTTCATTGGCAAGCTAGTGGAGAGTGGTGGCTGATCAGCTTCAGGCTCTCCTGGAAGAAACCAACGTCCTTAATCCATTCCAGTCCAAGTTCAGACCACGTCATGGCATGGCGACAGCATTGGTTGCCCTGTAAGATGACCTTTTGAGGGAGGCCAACAAGGGCAAAACATCCTTGTTGGTCCTCCTTGACCTATCAGTGGACTTTGTTACCGTTAACCATGGTATCCTCCTGGAGAGGCTTTTGGGTTTGGGGACCGTTAACCATGGTATCCTCCTGGGGAGGCTTTGGGGTTTGGGGACTGGCGGTCAGGCCTTGGCCTGGCTCTGGTCCTCCTTCCCGGAGGACCGCTCTCAGAGAGTACTGCTTGGCCTCAATTGTGACTGGGGTTAGAAAATACCAACATATCTCCTCCATCTTGGCCGCCTTAAACCGGTTACCTCTTTATCAAGCTTGATATCTAGCCAAGCACCTTCTTCCTGTTAGGTCTGCCCACCCAGAAAGATTGTCACAGGCAGGGCGGCTGAGAGTTCTGACCCCGAAAGAGGCCCAGAAAACGACTGCCAGAAATTGGGCCTTCTCAGCAGTAGCTCTGCAACTGTGAAATAGCCTCCACCCGAAGTCTGCCTGGCCCCCTCACTGGGCACTTTTTAAAAACTACTAAAACCTGGTTATTTAGACAGGCCTTCCAAGAGCAAATAACACTGTGATGAAATAGTGCTTCCGATAATGTAATATCCAATTTGCTGCCATGTTTTCATGCTATTTATTTCATTGCATTTTATTATGTTTCCTGTTTTATTTTATGGTATTTTGTTTTTGAACTTTTATAATTTATTGATGTTGTTATGTTCTGTGATTCTATTATTGTTACTGTTTAGCTGTTGTAAACTGCCCAGAGTGGCCTTGGCTGCTAGATGGACGATACAGAAATCAAATCAAATCAAATCAAAAAATATTTTAAATAAATATTAAATAAATCAATGAATCTATTCCATTGTTTAGAATTGACAAGAGGATCCAGGTTCTTGTTTTTTTCTGAGCAGTCAATATTCCTGTTCATTGTGACAAGCTTTCTTCATGTAACTAGCAACAGCTGTCTATACTATACCTGTGTTGTAAAGTGACAAAAATTTATCTTATTTTGTGACTTACCTTTCTCAAATGATGGTACACTAAACAGCACAAAGCTTCAAAACAGAGTAGTTCAGGATCCATAAAGACAGCTGTTGCTAGTTACATCAACTGAACATATCCTAGTTTAGTGATGTCATAAGAAACCAAAGTATACCTACCTGCACAAAATATATGTTTTACATAGTGGCTAAAATAGTGGTGTTCATCGTCACACAATGTAAAGTTATCCTAGCATAAGCCTCGATGAAATTATGCCCAGGCACTCCAGATGTGCAATTAGATTACACAACTGACCATGCGATTCCCATTTTCCCTCTTGAGTGCTAAGCACGCAGAAGTACTTTGCGAATAGTACTTCCTCCCTTGCCACATGGAGCTGTGCAAAAAGGTTTCGGCCAGAATTCCTCCAGTACTCTTTTCCTATTATGTGTCTCCAAGTCAGTTCTGATTCAACAGTAACATTCCTAGGGTTTTCTACATATGAAGTACAAAGACACAATTTGGCACTTATTTTTTTAAAGTGTCTACACCTTGCTGAAGTCAGGTACAGAAACTCAAATGGAGGCATGGTTTTATAAGTAATTATGGAAAATTCACTATGTATTTATGACCAACTGATTAATGGGCATAGTAAAGAAACTTCTGTGGGTATGTATACTTGCATAATTTAACATAAATAATGCTACCTGATACGGCACTGAACATAACTGTTTTTCTAAGTACTTAATGGCTGGCTCAGTTGCAGAGCCAGAGTTTAGGAGTTTGATTTTCTGCTGTGTCTCCTGTGAAATACAGCCAGGTTGTATGGCCTCAGTCAATCTGCACTCTCTTAAGATGCCCCCAGAAGAAGGGAACGGTCAACCTCTTCTCAGTACTCTGTATCTGGAAAACCCTGAAAAGGGACGCCATAAGTCAGAATTGACTTGATGGCACATGATTATTATTTATTACTAATGATCTTTACCATTAAATCACTTGATCTGGGGATATCATTTAAATCCTGCATAACCTATAAAGCCAAAATCTATGCTGCTTCTCCTGCTTCTTACCTTAACATAGCCTTTGTAGGCTGTTCCTATGCCTCTTTGAACATCTACTCCAAGGGGTCGCTTGGCTTGCTCAGGAGGTATAGGGCAGACTTGTGGTGCACTGTCCTTGCAGGAAACATGGCATGCAAATGAACACACTAAGGAAGAAAACACAAACTTGTCAAAAGTCCTTTGCTTTTACAAAGTGATGTCTATACAGCAAGGAAAAGCAAATGATTATAGAAGTTTACTTTGTTTGCTTCTTTTTTCCACATTAAATATGAATATTGGTCAACAATAAACATTGTTCCTAAAATTACACAAATTCTAGGGGAGAAGACACACCACTTTATAGCAACAAAACCAGCAAAGAGTCCTTAAGGCATCTTTAAATCCTAACAAATACATCATAGCAATGTACGTTACCCAGAGGTCACATCTTCAAAGTTTACACCACAATTTGCTTTTTAAGGTGTCATTGAAGTTCTCCTTGATTTTAAAATGCTACAGTATTTTCAACTGAGCAGTGAAATCACCTTCCTTGCCATCAACATTTCCAAATATTCAAGTGTTGTTAAAAACAAACAAACAAAAAAACAGCTGTTTCTTCTACGTGCTATTCAGACCAGCTACTTATACAACTGACCTAAGCACTCTTTCTTTACGGAAAAAAGAAGCAGGAAATAAATCAAATCAACCCTGATTATTTTTGAAGTTCAGTTTTATCTTATTATAAAATGTTTTGGGGAAGCTTTAAAAACAAAGATCCATGGGGATGATCCTAAATTTCTTTCTTTCTTTCTTTCTTTCTTTCTTTCTTTCTTTCTTTCTTTCTTTCTTTCTTTCTTTCTTTCTTTCTTTCTTTCTTTTAGCAAAGTGACATCAGGGAATCTGAGTTTTTCCTTACTCCCTCCACTCAGGATGATGTCACCATATATATATGGTGAGATAGAAGAGCCATCATAGCTGCCTGGAGCCTCACTCTTTCAACAGGTAGACAGTAAAGGATGCAAGGTTTAATTTTTCATGACATTCCTCAGCATCACTTGTTCCACATAGTTTGGAAACTTCTGTCTTAAAATCAAAGTAGTTGATACACACAGTACATAGTTAGAAGCTGAAAGCACATTAATGCTTCAGGATTTAATTTCTTCCATGCCAATAGCCTGAGCAATCAAGCTTGTGCTTCTCTCTCTATGATCAATCACAAAACAAAACAAGCTAATTGCAACCTACAGGAAATGGGAAAAAAACCCATGCTAGGACATTTAGATGCTTTTCAGACTTACAGTGGTGCCTCAACTTACGAATGTCCTGACTTACAACCATTTCGAGTTACGACCAGCTCCGGCCACAAAATTTTATTTCAACTTCTGGCCGGAGTTTCCATGTACGAACACAAAAGGGCAGGGGAAAAAGGCGGAAAATTCAAATTGCTAACAATCAGTAAGCGAAGAACCTGCTTCTTTGTAGCTCTTTTGTCCCAGCAGTTAGAGAGTGTGATCACAGGCGGTTTCGGACTGCCTGGTAAGGTAAGGTGCTGATTTCTGCTTTTTAAAACTGTTCTGGGTGGGTTTTGCAGCGTGGTTTGGGGCAATGTTTCTGTGATGTGATGGGTCGTGGGGGTTTGTTTGTTTGTTGGGGTTTTTCCCTATTTCCGATGGGTCTTGGGGGGTTTGTTTGTTTTTTGGGTTCCCCCCATTTCTGATAGGTCTTGGGGGGTTTGCTTGCTTTTGGGATTTCCCCCCCCCCATTTCCTATGGGTGTTGTGGGGTTTGCTTGCTTTTTGCTTTTCTTTTTTTTTGCATTTCTAATGGGTCTTGCATGCTTTCCTTGATTTTTGCTTTTCTTTTTTTTTTGCATTTCCAATGGGTCCTGCATGCTTTCCTTGCTTTCTGCTTTGCTTTTTTTGCATTTCCGATGGGTCTTGCATGCTTTCCTTGCTTTCTGCTTTGCCTTTTTTGCATTTCCGATGGGTCTTGCACGCCTTCCTTGCTTTTCTCCTCCCTCCCTTTGGCTGGAATGGATTAATCGCATTTCCGATGGGTCTTGCAGCAATTTCTTTTTTTGGGTGATTTTTTTTCTTCGGCCGGAACGATTAATTGCATTTCAATGCATTCCTATGGGAAATGGGACTTCGACTTATGACCATTTTGAGTTATGACCTGAGTTACGGAACCAATTAAGTCCGTAAGTCAAGGCACCACTGTAATGCATACCTACTTCTCTGTGTCATCTAGTATGAACCTCGGAAATCAATGCCTCTGTTAGCATTAGAATAGATTCCCTGCAACACTGAAAACTTCATAAAGTGAGCAAGCAATTGGAATAAAACAGGCTCATTTTGTATAATATTTTTGTACCAACTAGAATTGACCCAGTATTTATTTGTCTTTTCATGTCAGTAATCAATGTCATAAAACAAATGATGTCATAGAAACCATCTCCAACAATATACAGTGGTGCCTCGCATAGCGACGATAATCGGTGCAGCAAAAATCGCTGCAAAGTGATTTTGTCACTATGCGATATTAAAAAGCCCATAGGAATGCATTGAAACCCCTTCAATGTGTTCCTATGGGCTTCAGACTCACCTTTAAATGAAAATCCTCCATATGGCGGCCATTTCCGCTGCCTGGTAAGCGAGGAATCCCTCCCAGAAAACAGCGGGCGGCCATTTTTTTTACCCAGCGGCCATTTTGGAACCGCCGATCAGCTGTTAAAAAATCATTGCTTTGTGATGATCGGTAAACGAAACAAGGTACCGATCATCGCAAAGCGATATTCTCCATTTAAAACATCGCAATGCGATCGCCTTTGCAATTGTAATGTTCATCGCTATGCGATTTCATCGTTAAATGGGGCGCCCGTTAAGCGAGGCACCACCGTATCCTATGTTCATTCCCTCAGTTCTCTTAATGTGACTGGTGCTTTGAAACAGCCTCTTACTGAGCAACCATGATATAAACAGATCTAACATTAAAACACATGCAATTGATAATGATACTCCTGCCTTCTATTAACACAGGAAAATGCATGCGTATGCCAAGTTTATAAGCATGTTTCAAACACCTGTCTCCTTCCAAGCAATTGCCTTGGTGCTGCAAAGACAAAAAGTTATGCTGTTGAAACTGATAAATATTTAGGAGATTTAAACTAACTTACCATCGCATGCATATCCCTGTCTGATCAGTCCCACCATGAGAGATGTGCAATGGCTGCATTGAGTAGGGCTTGTAAAGGATTTGATACTAAGTTGATGGGCTTTAGGCTGAAATGCAAATTCAGGATAAATCAGGATAAGAGTTCATTGAAAAGAATCAACACCTTGGACTAAAACCCAGTGCATTAAATGCACAAGCTCTCATTGCAATGGTTCTTGATTTTGTGATCTAGATTTAGTCCTAGAACTGTCCTTATTTACTTGCATGAAGACTGGGACAGAAACTATTCCTAGCTCACTAGACATCTATATATTTCTTGCTTAATCCAAAAACATTTCTCAGAAGCAGAAAAAGATACCATCTTGAACACATCTAACCCTGACTGTCTTTGGAAGATAAAAAAAGCAACCTAGGGGCAGCACTTAGATGGAACAACCCTAGAGATATCCATGTGGGACTGTATCTGGTAAAAGCTGACACTATGAAGCTAAATGGACCAAGGGTCTGACACAGTGGCTGGAATCCTGTTCGTGCAGCTCTGTGCGCATAAAGTTGATGATATCATCAGCCACAGACGTTAATCTTCAATAAAATGCTTACTATTTCCATTTTAATTAGATTTTAATCAATTATTTAATTAAAAGTTTCCTTTTTGAGGTTCCTAGGGATCAATTTTGAGACATGGAATTTAATGTCTGAAAATTGTTGCTGCCAGTCCTGTTGACAATGAACAGGATTCTGGACAATATAAGCCAGGTTTCAGTAGTCCTGAAAATACTGTCTGTACAAAACCACACAATTTTAAAGTCCAAATACTACTCCACATTGAGTGTTGATTGAACAACACACTTCAAAGCTCCTAATTCAAGCAGAGGAACTTTGTTGTTATCAGGAGATGTTCTTGCCACCTGTATCAGGAGTGAGGAAAAAATCTGAATGTGCTATGAAGTTCAGAAGAATCATGCAAATAAATATTTTCAGGTGTGGTAATGCAGTCAACAATGAATTCTCTCATATAGGAAGCTAGTATAAATTTTACTCCTCTTGGAGTAAATTTTATCTTTAACAGAATGCTGCTTAAAAGGTTCTTTTCAAAGTATTTCCAGGAGAAGAACAAGGTGATTTGGCCCCCTGCTTTCTAACTTTTGCTTGGGGGAAAACGTGTCTCCACTGTTGATCATGCTGTGATTATTTCACCCTGCTCCTGATTTCTGAAATCTGTTCTATTACAATTCATTTTTAAAATGTTAAGCTGCTTGGAGGGGGAGGGGAGGGACTTTTTCGGGCAAAACAAAGCACAATGTTTTTTCTTACAATAAATAAACAAGTGAAGCAAGCAAATGAACAGATAGGGCCAGCACAGAACTATGCTGAGCATCAAAGATTATTTTTCAGCCTACAAAATCTGAATTCTGAAATCAAATCCATATTGGCATCCTGACAAAATCAAAGCAGCAAAAGCTGATGGTATACTAATCCCTTGTTCTGCTGTCATGAAAGGCAAATGGACTGCAATAAGTTTGACAGGCAAAAGGGGAGTTGCCACAATTTTAAATAAACCTATGAATTCAACCGAAAAACTAAGACATGACCAGGGAAATACATAAAGACATAACCAAACAGAAAGATGGATCATACAGATGTACAGTACATGAGCCACAACCACTTTTACAACGCCCCTCCCGAATTTTAAGCAAAACAAGCCATCAGGCCCCCATACCTTTGGTACAGCTAGAGAAATGGACTGAATGGTGGGGGAGGGAGCAGCAGGCATCCTCTGAAGCCGAATTGGTTCCTGAATTACAAAAAACTACAGTTGAACAAGATTTAAGACTTCAAGATCCCAGTTACATTTGTTCTGGGATCAATTGTTGAATAACTTTTGAAAGGTTAGGAAATAGAGCTGGTATGGCAGAATGCAGCATTGTTGCTGATTTACTAGAAGCATGTTGCAGATCAGAAGGACTCATAGGAAAGCCTGCACTCTAGCAATAAATGGAAGAAAACAGGTAAGGAAAGCAAAGCTTGGTGATACAGTGGAAGCCAGAGAAAGGGGAGCAAACCAAATGATAATTCGCAAAATTTGCACATTTAACATTGAAATATGTCTGCAGAGGACCATGCTATGAAGAAAAAAGGCATTCTTGTGTGTATTGATGAGGATTAGAAGGTACATTTACAAGGGCTTCCCAAAATTGTTTAATCTGGACAGTAAAACAACAATGGCTACTTACTTCTTGCTGCTGCTGCTCTGTCATTACAGATGTTGATGGTGACACCTCTGCTTTGGGACTGTGTGCCTCCTGCTCACTAATGGAATTTGTCTGTAAAGCAGGGGAAAGACAGGCAGCAAATTAGCTTTTAGAGTAAAAGAGGAAGATCAAGGTCAACTGAAGCAAAAGAGTGCCAGAAAACAGAGAGACAGCTCTTCTGCACCCAGCAGTGTTGAGCTAGTTAACATCTATGCTCTAAAAGCAACCCCACAAACAACTGCTAAATTGTACAAATGGAAGAGGTTGCTGTTAAAAACTCTCAAATGGTGAAGAGTTGCTTTTCTCTATAATTAAGTTCTTAATGCCTGGTGTCCAAAGACCCTTTGAAACTTATATCAAATTGGTTTCAGGCATGAACAAAATGAAGCCACACTTCCTGATACACACTGACATCTTTTTAAAAACATCTCTATTCCTTCCTCCTGTTCCTTCTCCCCCTCTCTGTGTATAAAGTCTACCACAAAATAAGAAATTTACAGTTCTTTGTTACTGAACATTTTCTAAAGAACTTCTGACATCTTTATAGTCAAGCATATACAACACAGGACTCTGAATATAAAGATACTGCAAAGTATTTCATGTATTTTCAAGGCCATGTTTTAAAATACAATATTTCTGAAAAACTAAAGACTTCAGGAGTGGAGGAAAATGAAATACTACTATCCCACTCTCCCAATTAAAAACTTAAATTGTTGGAGAGGAGGACTTACTGTATTTGGCTTATCTAAAATGTTTACTAGTTCAATTAATTAGAACATCGCTAGCCAGTGCACTTCAGCCATATTTAACATATTTTAAAAATAACATGAAATTTGATTCAAATTGCTAATGGAAAAACACGGGCATTAGTACACACACAGTTAAGGGGTATTAGAGGCTCTTTTTGGTATATTGGTATTTAGAAAATGCAAATATTAACAAAATTAAGTTACATGCTTAGGGCTTTGAAATACTACAGACAAAGAGCTTACATTTAATAATATACTGTTAGAGAAAGAAATGTTTTGTAAAGCGGTTATAACAGTCCCTATAAGCTGTTCATTTTATATAAAGTTTCAATATAAACTGGCTGGCCCTTCAATATTATATAGTTAAGTTTAGAAGCTGCAGATAATTTTACAACAGGGTATAGCACATTAAATTATAGATATTCATCTGCAGCTTTTGGATGAGGTGGATCACCTTCTGACACTTCAACCAGAAATAGGAGAGGGGAAAAATAAGTACTATGGTTCAAATTCAGTGAATGATCTGAAATCTGGCACTGCTGGGAACAGCTTACAGAAAATGGCCCATATTGATTGGAGGTAAGAAGATTAAGAAATGTTTTATTTATATGAATTAAACATTTCATAAGTGACTTCCAGAATTCAGGTCATGTGAAGATAAATTTGGGAATTATATCCACCAGTCTGCACTGATAGCCACCTGGTTGGCAAGGCTGTGATGAAGTTGAAACTAACAAAAGCACAGGATACTGAAATATGTATAAACAGCATCTATGTAAAGGTAGTGGTGGGCAAAGTGCAGCCTATGAGTCCCATGTAGCCACCCTACTGGGGGGACTCAAATACACTCTTCACTACATCTCCTTGTGGCACCTGGAAAACATGGGTGCAATTCTGCCGATGTGTTGGGACTCACAATTTAAACCCTAAAAAGGTAAAAGGAAAAAAGCAATTACCACCAAAGTGTGCATGGAGTTTTTAGAGTTTATAATAAATAAAAACACTTGAGGAGATTAGAAGGCCATCGAGGAGTGCCCTTCACGCCTCTAGACATTGCCCTTGATGTATGTTAAGCAAAAAGACTTTGTGTCAATAGAATGAGCCTCACATTTGTAACATCAAGAGCATTGTTTCGAAACCTCCACTGTTTATTACAGAAGAGATAGGTTTCTTTTTAATTTATCGGTGAATTGTGTTAGACTGAGATTTGGGAGACCTATGATCATTCTCTCATCAGTCTGCACCACACATACAAGACAAAGTGGAAAAAGAGCAGAATCCTGGAGAAAAGGCGGGATTGTGGCACTATCCCATAAAAAACCCTCCCTTTTGTGAAAGGATAATTCAACGCTCCTACTCATCACATTAAAACTCATCAACTCAATATTTAAAATGTTCAACTGAGCAATAATCTGTCTTTTAACCAATTTATTATATTTAAAATTAATGCTGAGGTTGTCAGAACTTTAAAATCTGCATACATGGTGGCTGCAGAGGAGCTGGCCTCTGGACTACAGTTAATTAACTCAACACCTGGAAAAGTAGATGCCTATGGACAGAGGAGTTTGGTCAAGTCTCTCAAAGGAGCCTGGAAGAACTAAAATGTCTATGGAAGACAGGAACCATTGCAATTAGCTGTAACAATGAGATGTGGAAGGTAACTGAAAACCATGACATTATATATCTCTAGTCTACTTGTCATTTGTTGTTATGTACTGTCAAGTCATAACCAACTTATAGTGATCCTAATAGGGCTTTCAAGGTAAGTGAGATATTTAAGGGGTGGTTTTATCAGTTCCATACTCCCAGTGAGATCCATGGCTGAGTGGGGAATCTACACTCATCACAGTTAGATGAAAATGTACAAAGATCTGTGTTTCTGCAATATTTTGTTGTTGTTGTTGTTGTTTAGTCATTAAGCGGTGTCCGACTCTTCGTGATCCCATGGACCAAAGTACGCCAGGCCCTCCTGTCTTCCACTGCCTCCCGGAGTTGGGTCAAATTCATGTTGGTAGCTTTGATGACACTGTCCACCCATCTCATCCTCTGCCGTCCCCTTCTCCTCTTGCCCTCACACTTTCCCAACATCAGGGTCTTTTCCAGTGAGTCTTCTCTTCTCATGAGATGGCCAAAGTAGTGGAGCCTCAGCTTCAGGATCTGTCCTTCCAGTGAGTACTCAGGGTTGATTTCCTTCAGAATGGATAGGTTTGTTCTCTTTGCAGTCCAGGGGACTCTCAAGAGCCGCCTCCAGCACCACAATTCAAAAGCATCAATTCTTCGGCGGTCAGCCTTCTTTATGGTCCAGCTTTCACTTCTATACATTGCTACTGGAAAAACCATAACTTTGACTCTGCAGACCTTTGTTGGCAAGGTGATGTCACTGGTTTTTAGGATGCTGCCTAGGTTTGTCATCGCTTTCCTCCCAAAAAGAAGGCGTCTTTTAATTGGCTGACAGTGGCTGCTGTCACCATCTGCAGTGATCATGGAGCTCATGATCACTACAATATTTAGATAGTCAAATTGCTATGAATCCCTGTACTTAAAGTTAGATTAAGAACTTGGAATGTATAATATAGGTATACAGCAGGGAAACTCCACAATACAATAAATGAAACAAAAATGATGAACACTCAGATCTTTGGAGTAAGTTAAGCTCACTGACCAGGAGATGTCCAAGTACAGGTACATACTTGGCCATACTGTTCTATTCAGACAGTAATGACACTGTGGACTGGATGTAAGCACAGCCATTACTAACTCATCTATACACTCAGATCAGGTAATGCTTACTCAACTAAAGCAAAATTCTACACACCAAAATCTTGTACAAGTATACATTCAAGTAGCTTATAAAGATGAAGAAAGCATAGAAAAAATATAGATGAAGAGCAAAAAGCACTTCTGTTAAGTAATGAGGGATTCTAATCCTAAAATAAGCAAAGGAATCTGCAGAGTTTGTTGGAGAATAAAGAATGAACAAATAAAACAATTTTATGAGGAAGAACTTTAATCAGGGATATCATGCTTAAATTATTATCTAGAAGAATGCATACATGGAAATCCCCAAAATTATTTATTTTGTTTTGTTTATAATATTTCTCCCCATGGGGGAACGAAGGCAGCTAACAATTAAAAGCATAAAATAAGTTTAAGATACTATATAAAACTATATATTAAAAACCAATTAAACATTGGTTAAGATTAAAACCAATTTTGAAAACATTCATTTTTCCCCAAGTATCTAAATTTCAAAAATAGAGCATTTCCTAGACATTTATCGTTTAAAAGCCTGCCTAAAAAGGAAAATCTTTGCCTAACAATAAAAGGACTAGAATGAGAGGACCAATCTGGATACTCAGGATAGTACATGCCAAAGCCTGGAAGCAGTTATTTAATCTTCAGTTGTACCATATGGCATGGAATTATGGATTCTCTAATGCAGTGGTCCCCAACCTTCGGCCTCCAGATGTTCTTGGACTTCAGCTGCCAGAAATCCTGGCCAAAAGAGGTGGTGGTGAGTATAGCGTTCAGCCCTGCCCTCACCTGTCCGTCACAGCTGAGCAGTGGAAAAGGAGCCAATGAGTGAACAGAAGGTGGTGCTAAAGGGGGAGGGGCTTGGATATAAACGTGTGTGTGTGTGTGTGTGTGTGTATGGAGTATGAGAGGGAGAGGTGAGTCTGTGAGTCAGTGAGCCAGTAAGTGAGTGAGAGTAGGGTTCTGTGTGTCAGTGAGTTCAGTGAGTGAGAGACATTGATTAGCAACTTGTGATTTACCTATTACATATTTCTGATCAAATAAACAAGTTTAACTTTCAAAGTAACACATGTCTCATTGAATAATTGGTATTGAAACAGCAATACCTGGTGGCAGCAACTAAGGAAGAAGAGTGAGCACCTCCTGGAGGCCTGAGATAATAGAGGCTTCAGTGCGTTTGCTACAGTGAGGGCTTCTGGGGGTTGTAGTCCAAGAACATCTGGAGGCCCAAGGTTGAGGACCATTGCTCTAATGTATGCAACTATTACAAAGGTCAGAAGCATTTGAGATGCTAAGAATTTATTGGAATGAAGAGGTTGACAATAAAAAAATGCTAAGACAAATGAAGACCACAAAATAATAAAATGCAGAAAGCTAGAACAATTTGATCAAAGAATAAAAAGCAAAAAGTACAGATTATTGCAGATGATTATTCAAGGTAAAACAAATGGGAGACATTGAAGGGTCTATTCATACATAATCAGGAAACCAATTGCATCTGACACTTATAAACCTTGGAATCAACCCAAGGGAGTATCAATCATTTTCTTAATCTCTAAATGCAGAGATAAACCTTGAAAGAAACTCAAGCAAGTATCAAATATAACTGGTTCCCCAGTTTTGTATGAGAAGTACCTTCAAACTTTTCTTTTATTCTTAAGCAACATTATTCTTAACATTTCATTGGGTTTTTATAATTCATTGCAACTGATCTTGCAACCCTGCTGTAAAGAAAAGATGAATGTGATATTTTTGTGTGACTGATGTGACTTCATTTATAAAACTTGCTGTACTACTTAATAAATGTGCCTTATTTACTTTTAGCCCTTGAAGAAGGCCATGAAAAGAACACAATGTCTGGAAAACGTCTATCTTTGTCTAAATAGAAAAATGAATGAGAAAATAACATAAAACAGACTGCAAGATGATTATTGGCATTCTAAGGATTTTCCTCTTTGGTTTATATGCTTGTAGTGAATATAAGTTTTAATTTATTATCTATGCTCTATTAAGCTTTAAATGGTTTGGGCCCAGGCTATCTGAAGGACTGTATCTCCCCATATGAGCCTTCTTGGTCTTAATACTGTATCTTCAAAGGAGGTCCTTACATCCGTAGTGTTGCCATCCGAAGTGCATTCAATGGAGCATGAGAGAGAAGCCTTCTCTGTGGCTGCTCATAGGTGGTGAAATATACTGTATATCCCTCAGGAGGTTAAGTTGCCCCCCCTCCCTTTTGCCAATTGTCAAATACCTGCCTCTTCAGTCAAGACTTTTAATAATTACAACTGAGTTCCTGGATGCTGGGTTTTTGTTCTTCTTAATATGGTTTTAAAGTTTTAAATGCTTTTTGATTATTATTGCACTATTAATTAATTGATTTTAATCATTATTTTATGTTCCATTGATTGTAATCTTGTTATTTATTGTGTTTTTAGTGTGACTTGTTTTAATATTGTGAGCTGCCTTGGGTCCCCTCACCAGGAAAAACTCATCTTACAAATTGGATGGATGGATTTGCATGTTGAAGCAGAAGCAAATTAAAGGAAGAAACTATTATATTATTTTACTATATTTCAGGGCCTCACAACTAAAATGCAAACTTCAAATTCAGCTTTACAAGGTTGAGGCTACTAATTTTGCATCAAGTTGTCATTTAGGTTTAGAGATTTCTCTTCCGTACAATATACAAAACTCAAACCAAATTTTGCTCTGGAGAAATGTGGGTTTACAAAGGTTTAGTAGCTCCACTTTGAACCGTATTCTACAACAGGAAAGCAAAAGCTGAAGTTATTTTAGGTAAAACAGCAAAACTGATTATTTTAGATATTTGTATCTTGCCTTTTCACTAAGTAGCCTGCAAAGCAACTCATGGTCTATCATCCCCGCAAGGTCATATCCAATAAAAGTTTAAAATCCATACAAGACATCAACAGAAACAAATAAGCAAATCAACAACTCCCTGGGAAAACTAATTTCTAAGCTGGCAGCCAGCAAATATCTTTGGAGAAAGTTGTATCAGAAAAACAAACAAACCCTAGTGTCTGATCACCATAAACTAACAAGTGAAGACAGCTAAAAGAGGGCCACAAGGCAGATCTTATACATGTCCCTAAATCTGACTCTCTATTCAAGTTCTCCAAGGTATAGCCCCTAAAACATTCAACTGTAGTAGTAGTAGTAGTAGTAACAACAATAGCAATAATACAATTTTCATTTTCAAAAACAAAACAAAACAAAAACAAGAAGGAAAACCATCTAATAAATATCTAAATGCATGGTGCTGTCAGGTCACCTTATGCTATTGCCAGAATTTTCTAGTTCAGAGTACTCAGGAGTAGTTTATTTATTTAGTCCGTTCCTCTGGGAGTGCTCTGGAACCGCATAGCTTGCCCAATACCACACAGGCTGGCTCTTCTGCAAGGCTCACTGGAAGCTAGGTGCTTCATCTCACTAAGCTATCCAGTCAGGTAATTTGTAGGTTATATTAGTACTAACAGGGATTTCTTCAGTTGAAATGATTAAGACCAAAGCATGGACAGTTGCTATACCAGTGAAATCAAGGCTTCAAATTCCATTCAGTGTAAACTACATCAGCAATTTGGCTTTCTAAAATGCATTCTAATCAAAGCCTGTGACCTTCTGTTTTCAAAAGGCATGTTCACCTTCAGATTTTAATTTTTAGCATCCTTTAATGCTCAGTTTAGAAGAGGACCCTTAAAAAGTAAAATAAACTAGTTCTATTTAGTTTAGTTAATGTTAAGAATTATTTTTTTAATACACATAATAAAGGAAAATTTTAAAAGGCCACTACGTTTGGGATGGCAATTTTACATTTACAGATCACAGATGGGGGAGGCAAAGCCACCAACACAAAAACTTACGTCTTCCCAAAAGGCTAGTGGAGAAGATGCAGATGAGGAAGACACAGAGTCCTTGGTGTAACAGATATGAGAGGATAAAAATAATCGTTTACTCAACAACACCATCAAAAGGGTTGTCATCAAACTAAGTTAGCATTTGTCACAACATTCTTCTGACACTCGTGTGTGTGTGTGTGTGTTTGTGTTAAAAAACCCGCAATGCACTAAAACGTTCACTATAAACATAGCATACTACAATACAGCCAACAAAACATACCCTGTTTCCCCAAAATAAGACTTAACCATAAATTAAACCCTAGTATGATTTTTAGGATGCTCGTAATATAAGCCCTACCCTCAAAATAAGCCCCAGTTAAGTGGAACTCTGCCATCCACCATTGTGCAGCATTGTGCAGCAACCAGAAGACGACATGACTTTATTTGAATAAATGTAGATTGTTGTACATAAAAAAAAACATCCCCTGAAAATAAGCCCTAATGTGGTTTTTTTGGATCAAAAAGTAATATAAGATCCTGTCTTATTTTGGGGGAAACACAGTAGTAGTGAAAACAGGATGTTTGACTAGCTAGCTGCCTTGGGAAAAGTTATCACTATTCAACCCATTATTGTAATCTGCAGCGTTAGAATACTGAGCAGTTTTGGAAGCAATTGTAAAGTCAAACAAGGTAAGAAACTTAAAAGGAACTGCACAAAATACATTATAAACCTCTCTTGTAGATGTATTTAATGAAGACCGAATATTATATATCTGATCTTCATTAAAATCTCAACTTCTCTTGACATGAAGGGCTTTCAGACTGGATGAAGCATGTCACTTTTCTACTTCAAGGTGCAAATAATACCTAAAATTTGGCAGAACATTGTTTGCTTTCCATTTACAGTGGTGCCTCGCATAGCGAGGTTAATCCGTTCCGGATTAACCTTCGCTATAGTGAAACATCGCTGAACGGGACAGGGAAAACCATTGGAACGCATTAAACATCGTTTAATGCGTTCCAAAAGGCTCCTTTACTCACCGTTCAGCGAGGTTTCCTATGGCCGGCAGCCATTTTCGCGCCGATCTTCGTAAAGCGATTTTCGGCCATAGGGCCCATCGGTAAGCGATCGCATTAGCGATCCAAAAAAACGGATCGCTATGCGATTTCGTCGTTATACGGTGCGCTCGTTAAGCGAGGCATCACTGTATTTTGTTTTCAGAGACACTGCAGAGTGGGTGGAGAGAGGCAAACAGCTTGCCTTTCTACATCAGCAATTAACCAGCATCAATTCTATAAAAACAAGTAGCAGAAATGCTCATTTTATGTACTGAAAAACTTTAAACCAATTTGCCTTCTCTCCAGCAACAAGCAAGTAGTCTGAAAAGGAAACAAGGAAAGCCAGGAAGTCACATATTATAGTTTCCAAGTGCTGCGCAGATATACCCAGCACAAAGCATGAATCTTTATGTGTATTATTCTCAATAAAAAAAAATGTAAAGCCCTGACCCATTCGGCATGGTCTACAAAGAATCACCCAAGCCAATAGAAATTAAGAATGGTTAACATGACATGAGTAATTCTATATGTCATTTCACTATGTTTTCCCCATTTACCTATATGTAAAGTGTCTTGTCATCTGTAGCTGTGAATTTCATAAACATGAGAGAAATTGTGTGTCACCATCTAACTCAAAAAACAGATCAGTGTCTCAGTCTTGAATTTCTAAGTCTGGGAACCACTGTGTCTATGTAACTATGCCATGGGAAGCAAAAGGCATAGCTATTAGATCTTCTATTAGAACTTCTCCCCTTTATGAGACTTCATTTATTTATTTACAAGATTTTTTTTTAGCCACGTTATTACCAATGGTTTCTGACTTTCTTTGGCTGGCAATCCAAGAGGTTGATTCTTAGCATTTTCACTCCTTTACCATCATCTCTTACTACTGGGTTTGCTCAGGAGATCTAATGTGTGAGTTACAACCAAGCACCACATCCTCTGCACATCTATCTAGTTTAAAGACTGAGATATTTCTGGTTATGAACTGCTCTGCTAACTTAGGAAAAAGCATGTAAGTTATAAATAGAACAATTAGTTTTCAAACATGCCCAATAAGATTCTGCAAGTGCAATGTTTGCAATGCACAAATCAGGATACATTGCAGTTCTTTGTTACACCCCAATTCAGGGAGATTTTTCTTTTCTCCAGTCCTTAGAAAATTTCTGTAGCCATGCACTAATACTTACTCGGAAAGTCAAATCGTGTGCAAGAGGCGAAGTATTGAAATATTCAAATATGGAATCTTGAAATTCTGAAAGTTTGAGACCTAGAAAAGGGAAAATCAGATTATTTAATTTTTAATATTAAAAAACAAAAAAACAAAGCATTGTTTTTAAGCTACTTGATGCCTAAATTATTACCAGCATCAGTCCTGTATTTTTCTTCCAGCTTCTTCTTTAAAGCTTCAACTTCTTCTAAGAGTTCCTGATTCTTTGCTTCAGATTCCTTTAGTTTGCTAAAAAGTAAAATAGAAACCCTGAAGTATTTAGAATGTAAGGGAACAAAATGTATTTCTGTGTCTTATTTTTTCCTTCATCAGTTCCTCCCCATCCATCCATCCATCCATCCATCCATCCATCCATCCATCCATCCATCCATCCATCCATCCATCCATCCATCCATCCATCCATCCATCCATCCATCCATCCATCCATCCATCATTTCCCAGAAAATAAGCCAGGGTCTTATATTAATTTTTGGCCCAAAAACGCATTAGGGCTCATTTTCAGGGAAAGTTTTATTTTTTTCATGTACAACAACCTAAATTTATGCAAATACAGTCACGTCATCTTCTTCTGGTTGCTGCACAATGGTGGAGGGCGGGG